GTTTATGTCAATTTATTCAATACTTCTCTGGTGGCCAATGGTTTCTGATATATTTCTTCTTCTTTTTTTTATTTTTTTTTAATGAGTATGCTTTTGGGTTTTGGTAACTTGACTGTTTGTTTCCAGTTGGCTTTTGTACTGTCCAGCCTCTTGGTGGGGATTCCATTCCAGTTACTCCTCCAAGGAAAACTGAAGGAGAAACAAGAAAGAAAAAAAAAAAAATTCTTCATTAAGAATGACACTTCTTGTTACTGTGGAGTCGAAGCATCAAGTATTGAGTTAGTTGGGAATCAATATAGAGTTGCTTAGGATTTTGTACATGTTAGCAATTGTTAGTTGGCTGAACTTGTTTCAAGTTGTTGCAAGTAGGGATGTTCACTTGTCAGTTTGGGTTGGGTTCACCCTTGGTCCGTTAACCAAACAGAACACTTTGTATTAGGGAATCATTCATTCAATACTCGACCGTCCTACTGTTCAAACGCGACTGAGCCAAATTGTTGGTTTTGCAGTCGGTTTGGTATACACATATGAGAAGCAATATTGCTCGGTTGGGTCAGGTTAATTGGTTGGGGTGTATTCAGAACCGAGACCTGTCTGCCAATCCAAAAATATCTTGTCCTTACACTTGCTATTTCAAATCCGACCATTAATTTCATTTTTGGGTCAGGTTGGGTCAGTTTGGATGAACAGCCCTATTTGCTAGTTAGCTTTCCAGTTACAAAGGTAGACTTCAGTGATGTGTATATATATTGAGTTTAGCTTATTTAAAAGAGATCAATTCAAATGAATGTAGTAAGTATGTGTGGGGTTTACCAGACCATATGTTTTTAAAATTCTGTTGTGCATAATTTTTAATTTTGTGGAATGTAGTAGGTATGCAATCTTGGGGATTAAGGTTTTTGCAAGTAAAATACAAATGAATGTTTTTTTTTTCTTTTTCCGGCAAGACACGTTAAGATGTCCTCTATCTTATCTTGTACTGAAATTCATATGACAACTTATATTGGTGTTGCTAATTACAATTTTTGTGTGCAAAATTGGGTGAATTTTCAATCCGACATCATGTGGCCTTCAATATATATACCATCTGCTTGTGGGATGATCATAAGGAAAAAGAACTACTTGTTTTGAAGGTTTACATTAGTATTCAGGGATCATAGTGTCTAAATCACGTGCATATTACTCACTATTGTAGTTCAGGGAATGGAGTAATATGGAATTGAGTTGCAAAAATAAAAAAAAAAACTTGAGGAGCAAGATCTTTTCCATCACTCCAATGTTTAAGCAGTTTTCTAACTCACTGTTCCTTCAAAAATTTTACATATCAACTGTAACTTGTTTCCAAACATTTTGACAAAGCCATTTATAGCATACTTGTATAGTGCTGTCTTCTGGTATCGAAAATGAAGAGGCGAGCAAAAGGGTTCAAATTTTACTTGTTTATTTATTTTTCTGGTGTGAAAACATTCTCAAGATTGTTTGACATGTCCTATATATTGTGAGGTTTGTACCATAGGAGTCTGAACATTCTCATGCAAATGATAATTCCTTGGGTACATACTTACATATTAAGACAACCACATGTTAATTATATGACACCTAGATTTCTTGCTTGAGTTTTTGAAGTTACTAGAACTAGGTTTTGATGGGAAACAGAAAGGAATTGATTGAAGAAATAGGATTAAATAATTAATTTTGATAATATTTTATATTTTGAGATTTATTTTATTTTTGAAAAGTTCTTTTAGTTAGGGTTTCTTGAATCCTTATAAATAGCCCAGCCTACTTGTAATATGTTTATGCAGCTTTGGGTTGATGAGATATTGAGTAGGCTGTGGCGGTTTGAGTTTAGGGTTGTGGCCCTTGTGATCTTCTTCTTTTATATACTTGTTATTTTTTTGATCAATTCTATGTATATTTTGGTTTTGTGATCAATTGAATAGTTGAACAGATTTCTTAATAGCTGTTCACCATCAGGTTGGTTCATTTTGGCTACTAACATATAGTAAAGAAAATTGTTGGGATCCCTAAAATAATTCTTGAACGATATCTTTGCATCATGTTATTTGCAGCTTGCCCTGTAAGCTTTGAGTTTTTGAACTACACCATCATCACCAGCCAGTGCAAAGGACCGCAGTACACGGCCAATAGCTGTTGTCCAGCTTTTAAAGAATTTGCTTGCCCTTATGTGGATGCGCTAAATGACTTGTCTAATAATTGTGTTGATACCATGTTCAGTTACATCAACCAAAGAGGGAATTACTCAGCTGGCCTTTTCGCCAGTTTGTGCCGGGACGATAAACAAGGGCTTATATGCCCTGCAACTGCACCTACACAATCGACCAATTCCAGCAGTGGAAGTCAGATCCGTGCTGCTAGTGCTCACGACGGTCCTCCTAGTGGTGGTGTTATGATTGTTTTGATGGCTTATACGTTATTTTCTTGATATGTATTCGTTGTTGTGCTTCATTAACATCGTTGAAATCACGGTTTCCAAACTGGGTTTTGGCCATGGTTTCTTACATTTGCTAGGGTTCCTATTCTCTGATTTCACTACTGAGAAAATAGTGTTGTTTGTATTGGTTTGTGCATTAATTGACCAGATGTTCTGGAAAAAACGGAATTCTTGGTCTTCTCCAATATCTTTTAATTGGGCTGGTTTGGCATAGACTATATAATCCATCTTTTTATCTTTTTATCTTTTTTCCATCACATCACCTCTCTACTTTTCTGCACATCTTTTCGTAAAAAGACAAAAAGTGCACTTTTTTAAGACACCCCAAACCAACCCCTACTTCTATTGATTATGTTATGGATCTGCTTGTTGAATGGCTTGCAAGTGTGGATAAACACAAATGAATAGATTGTTCTTGCACTTTGGCCTAGAGGTGTGAGCAGGGTTGCATTGTAGAGAAAATATCAACCAAACCAATCTAATCTTTTGATGGAATGAAAAATTTTCAGTCGGTCACCAACTCAAAGAATTGATTATTCATTTTTAAATTTTGATGCAAAACTTATAAAATTAATTGAATGCAAATTATATTTTTTAAATTAATGTACAAAACCTGAAGTCCATAACTCTATATAGGTTCATTGGTAGGACTTGACTTTGAGAATTTAAGATGAATCAAACCAAGACAATGGATATTGGGCTTTGCCAGTCCAAACCTCGAATTTTAGGGTTGGATCGGGACGTTGTTGAGGCTTACTGGTAGTCTACTTATTGACCAACGTGATCGACAAAGAGAAAAAAATGAAAGAAGTATCCATAGCAGATAGTTTTAGGTCATGCTTAGTACATGAGATGTGTGAATTATGCCTCATTTGAGAACAAGTTATTTTAATAATTTTTTGATTTTTTGTAAAAAGATATACAGAAAAATAAAGAAAGTGATATGACAATTTATAATAATTTTTTGACTAAAACACATAGTAATTTGATGAGTCCAATATAAATTATGTTTCATATCATGAATGATATAGGATCATTAGTCCACATATTAGAATTGAAAAGACTATTTACCCCTCCTTTTATGTTTTATATAATGAAGTGATTTTTTTACATAATTTTATAAATTTAAATATAACTAATTAATATAACTACATTAATACATGAATGAACACAATTTGTCTTACATTTTTTTTTATAATATGATCCAATCATTCAATTTTATAATATTTATAATTCCACTTAATTTTTTCAAGAATAGAACAAGCTTCAAACAATGAGCAAAATAAAGGACATTTTAGTAGTTCTCTAAAATTGAGTAGGGATGGTTATTTCCTCTTGTCCTATCCCACTTGAGCATTTTCCACCTCACTCCGCACGGATTTTTCCCTTCTCGATGAGGAAGTACGATGGGATAGGTTTTGCTTCCCCTAATGTTCTAACTTGCTTAGGGGTGGACAAATGTTGGGCTAGGCCGGCATTACAAAATAAGAGATTTTGTGTTTGTCAAACTCTGACTCGGCCCTAACATTAGTCTCTATATTTGTCTAAGTCCGGTCTAAAAAAATAATTATAAATCTCAAACTCACTCATCGGACTATATGTTAAAAAAAAAAATTAAAACATTACATAATTAAATTCAATCACACATTATATTTTTTGAACAAATATATTGATATCATTATAAATTGAAAGATTTTGTGTATAAATTGAAGGATATCTTAAATAAATTCAATCACACATCATCATAAATGCGAGTTTTAACAAAATCAATAAAGATAAAGTTTAGATCTCAAAAAATATATATTTTAATGTATTGTAAATAAACAAATAATTAATTAATTAATTAAATAGCACGTCGAGTCGGACGGGTTGGATTGGGTTGAAAGTATAAATCTCAAGCTCAACCCATTCGGACCGTGAATGTTGGTCTAGTCTGGCCCTACAGGTTAAAACAACCTTCTAAAGTCCTAGAAAAATAGGATTAGGTCAGGCGGACTAACGGGCTGATATCCATCCCTTCCAGATAGATATTTATAGTTGCAATTGTCCTACATTTTTATTATAATATCATACTAATCCAATTATTTAATTTTATGATATTCATAATCACATCCAATCTATTTTGACAATAAAAATAGATGCAAAAATAAAGGGCACTGGCAATTCTCTAAAACAAGAGGGAGTTAGATACAAATTTACCATGTACAATCAAGAGAAAAATTATGTAGTGACCTTGGGACATCATCATGTGATATCCCAACGCAATATGATTGGTTGAAATTACAAAATTCAATATTTTTTTGTTAGGTAGTAAAGGAGCAATGCTTTGACATTGTGTGTTGATTAGCCATTTGAGAAAGAATTTAGAAAAAAAATAAAAAAGATAAATAAAATATTAATTTCATATATATATATATATATATATTTCTTTTTAAATTTATTTTTAAATTATTCAATCAAACAAAGCGTTAAACCACTCAATAACCTCTCCAACCAAGGGGGGTTGGTATTTTTAAGCTACTATAAAACCTGTCCTTTTCGCTCACATTTCTAATCCGAACGTCGTTCCAGAGAAATCACTGGATAAAGATTAATATTATTATATTCATTTACATACCTTCTCTCTATCTCTCTCTTCGAGACACATCGCGATCTACTCGCCGGAAGAACAAAAATTGTTGGTCTTCTTCACCTTTTTCATGACGTTTATTCTCTGATCCAATTAATTCCGGATCGAGATCGTACGACCTCGCTCTCAGATTCGATTCGCCCAATTTCAAAGGTAATTCTAGGGGTTTTTTTTTTTTTGGGTTTGATCTTGCAAAAGCTGGACCTTTATCAGCGGAATATCGATCTTCATCAGTTTTTATGGGTTTTCAATTATTAGGTGGAAATTAATTTATTTCCCTATCATTTTGTTTATAGGGTTTGCGATTGTTTTTCAATTTATACTATTCCTATGATTTTTGTGTAAAAATTTAAGTTTTTTTGATCAATTTCTGCTTTATTATTATTTTTAATCTGCGTGTTGACATTGATTTCGTTTGAGAATGGGAACAATTTTCAGTTTTTTTCGACATACTAAAGTTATAAAAATTGGCTTCAAGAATTGTAAAAGACTTTAAGTATGAAACCCAATGCCTTTGTGCTATCGAACTTCTTTGGATTAGAGTTTCTGAATTATTAAGGTCATCTTCGGATAAGTAAATGCATAACCAAGGTCAAAAGTTAACATTCCCGACAGTCCCACGATTGAAAGGTGTCTCCCTCTTAACTGTCAAAGTCGGGTATCGTAGCGACTCTTTTGCTGGGAATTTTTCTAACTTATCTGTATTGATATGAAATCTCTTATTGGTTAGCAAGTGGGCCACAAACAGCGATTAACAAGAGTTTTGAGTGCTTTATGAGGGGCATCTTTTTTTTTTTTTTTGTGATTGTATGGTGGCCCAATGCAATGTGGCATCATAGTGGTTGGACTTGAATTGTTAGTTTTATTAAACTATACATCTTATTGTTTATTGACAATTATGCATCATTCCCATCGTCATGCATAGGCCAGTACTGAATGGCAGTGGAATTAAAACTGACTTGACAATGTACGAAAGAGAGACATTGATGATTAATTGTGTGTTAACTTAGTTATTAAATTTTTGTGTCGATAGTTTGGATGTTGGGTTGAAGTTCTATCATGTATGTTTTGCTAATTCTTGAGTTACTTGTTTTTGAGTCATTTTAGGTTGACGTTCACTTGTGAAGACCATGTCTCATCACCAAGTGGATGATGCTGAATACATGGCAGATGAATATGAAATGGAAGACGTGGATGATGATATGGACGAAGAGTTTCGTGGAAGAGAGATGGGTGGCTCAGACTCTGATGTGGATGAATATGACTACTTGGTTTGTGATATGAACTTTATAAAGTTTGAACCATAGTTTGTTGTCATGATATGCTATCTAACTGCAAGTCTTACCACTTTTTTTTGTTTATTTCTCTCCTATTGGCATGTTTTTTCTCTCTTTTTTCAAGTAACTTTTAGATGTTTTTTCCCATCAAACTCAGGATAAATGAGCTACTAACTGTTTGGTACCTATTTAGAATAATAAAATGGCAGATACTTCTGCTGCTCAAGCTAGGAGAGGTAAAGATATCCAAGGAATTCCTTGGGAGAGGCTTAGTATCACAAGGGAGAAGTATAGGCAAACTAGGCTAGAACAGTACAAGAACTATGAGAACATCCCTCAATCTGGAGAAGGTTCTGAGAAAGTAAGTTGTTTAATATCTTCCTTTTTCTCAGCTTCTACGATCTAACCTTTGGGTGCCATAGTGCTTTTAACATTGTTAATTATACTTCTGTTGGAAATAGGAATGCAAAATCACGAAGAAAGGGGGCAACTATTATGAGTTCAGACGCAATTCAAGATCTGTAAAATCAACAATTCTTCATTTCCAGGTTAGTTGGCATTTCTCTTTTCCCAATTTTCCTATTAGCTTTAGAGGTATTCTTATTTTGTGGTTAGGCGGCATTTCTTTATACCCGGTGTTCCTATCAGCTAAAAAAGTATTCTTATTTTGTGAATTTAGTGGTGATTTAACTTTCTATTGTTATATAACATTTATTATTGTTCGTAATTGGAACTTTTAATTGATTCTTCTATAATTTAAGTGTTAATTGTTCATCACATTTGGCTTGTGTGGTTTAGTGAAATTTAATTTTTATGTGATGATAGCATTTACAGTCATGTCTAAAATCAAATATTGAAAATGGAAATAAAATTTGTTTTGTCCAATTTTCTAAATTGGTTTGGTGCAAACTGATGCCTTTCATTGATTTATTGATTCAAAATTCTGAAATCCCTGAAAAGTTGGACGGGATTAATGTTGGACAGCAAAAGAAATTTTCAAGGAGCAAGTATGAATTGTAAATTGTAATTTTTGTTGCACACCATGGGTAATTTCAGGGAGAATAATGAACATATATTGTAGAGGACCAATCACAGGCCAACTTCGCCAAGTCCTATTTATAGGGATGAAAGAATGAATTTTCAATGAGTGGCGACCAGGGGTGAATGGTGTTGTACATTCTAATACGCTTGACCTAGAATACGAGGAGTGGAAGAAAGACGAATGGAATTATGCCTTAATGCCAAGTAATTTGTGATTGGCACACAGATTTTCATGGAGTGAAAATCTAATCAATGATGTTGAGAAGTCCATAATAGCAATATCGACATATAGAAGAAAATAACCACACTCGTAGAAGTTCATGGCATAAAAAAATCCGATGGATAATAGAAGAGATAGCTTCCTTTGCATGTCTGTAATGCTTATATTTATATTGGCCATGGCAATCTTTCAGTCTTCATTAATGATGTGTCTTGGATAACAAATAGCCAATCCTTGCCCACTCAGTAGGTGTGGCATGTGAGGCTCTACAGTATGTTGGTCATGGAATGAGTTTCAATTGACTGCATACATATATGGTATACTCCACAATCAAATGTTGCTTTATTTTTCCATACAGAGCTAATTTGTGATGCCTGGGTATATAACCCACCTCGTTTTCCTTTAATTGTGATTATTTTGCTCGTATTGGGAGTGTCAAGATTTGATATGAGGTCTTGTCGACCGTTTGAGTTCACCGTTCTTGAAACTTCCCTCGGAGCCTCATATTTATTTCATTTCAGAGTTGAGTTCTGCTTGTTTCGGAAAGCATGAAATTGGATCAGGGGTGTCTCAAGTTTAGCTAGTGCAATTTCTGGGTGGAAGGCAGGACCGCACGTGTGGGAGGTGAGGCAACATGTGCGGTGCGGTGAGGTGAGGTCGTTGATGGTTCAACATTGCTTTAAGGCACGAGCGGAGGGCAGGTGCGGAAAGTGAGCTGCACGTGCGGGGGAGAGTGGCACACGTGCGTAAGATACGTGCCGCACGTGCGAAAATGGTACCGCACCCGCACGTGTGGGAATGCGTTGTGTTCGAAAATTCTCTTTTTCTTTTCTTGGGTTGAGCACCCACGTCACTTTTCTTTCATCTCTCTCTCAATCACATTTCTCCTCCTCTCTACATTAGTCTCACCAAATCACATTAATCCTTTGATCTCAAAATCTATTGGAGCTTTGATCCTAGTTCCTTCATTAAAATTGGAGAACTCCTACGTTTTGTGCAGTGGAGATCGGATTTTAACACTGTCAAATTTGGAGATTTTCTTCTCTCTTTTTCTCCAAGCTTGAGGTAGGAATTCTCTTAGAGTTATATATATATATTTTTGTAAGTTTATGTTGATTTTGGAACTTCTTCTTGTAGTAATGAACCTTGATTTTTGGGTTCATGAGTTCTTGATGATTTTAAAAAAAATATGGGTTTTCTCAATGTTTTTTAAAAACTCTTGAGGGTATGAATTATATTGTTAAGGAATGTTGCCTTGGAAAAGTCCCTTTCAAAAATGAGGAAAAAACCTAGTTTTGTGAAAACCTTAGAGACTGGGGATTTTTGGGAAAATGGTAAAATATGTGATGAAATCTATGCTTGTCAAGTATTATGATGAATATATGATTGAGAAATTCCTATAATTGTGTTTGAAGAGGAAATTCCAAAGAAGAATGATAAATGGTTAATATTGAAGCTAGTTGTATAGCTTATTTTTTGGTTGGTCTTGAAATGACCAAGTGGGAAAAATAGAGATTAGCATGTGGAGAAAGCATGTAATGTGGTACTATTATTTATCTCCCAGTAGATTTATTTGTGTATTATCTTGAGAAGAAGTATGGAGATTTTTATCACAGTATGCATCGATTCATGTTGTATTGACTTCCCATCTCATATGGTGGTTATGAATTTCGAATTGAAAATTGAAAACTATTGCATTGAGAAAGAAATTTTTTTGTGAAACAGGAACATATTAAATTATTTTGGAGTAAATTTGTTGGTACGTTCGAATAGGGGGTGTAGTTTGGTATTGGTTAAGTTGGCCTGAGTGTTTATGATGAAAGACTGAAAACACGAGCAGAGCAGGTATCACATGCCTTCCGGTGAGAAACCGGTAAAGTGGAGGTTAGTAGTGCTTGTTATGCCTACTTGCAGACAAATTATATTAAATTTGCCACCTGAGTCATATTTACTACCTCTTGAAAATTACATTGAATTTGTCGGGTCATTGTGTTATCAAATTGGCATTATGTACAAGATTTTATTTTACTATTTTTTTTACCAAAAGGCTTTTCTATATTTTGAGCATGACATGGCATTTGTATTCATCTCTAGAGATTATGTAAAAATATATATATTTTGTTAAGAATTTCCTACTGGGTTTTGTGCTCACACTAGTGGATTTTGTGTAGGGATTTGGTGCAGGGAAAGATGTAGTGATTCTGCCAAATTGAAGGTGTTAAGTGTTTTGAGGGCATATAGCCCTTGTTTTGTTGTTGTTTTGGACAAGCTGAGGGCTTTAAATGTATGGGTTTCGACAACCATTTTTGTGTAACTCGGCATAAGCCGTGGAACCTGTAGCCTTGAGGGCATTTATTTGTAATTGACTTGTCTTCTAGACTGTTGAATGTATAGTTGCATGTGAAACACTTTTGATAAATCTCCGGAATGAATTGAGACACATCTTAGAGATTTGATGAGGATGTAATGGATGAAACATTTTTTTTTAATTTATATTTAAGTATGTTAGGGAAGTTACTACTTTTGGATTAAGATCTTGATGATAGATAAATATGAACCTTTGAAATTAGAATTATTTGGGGGCGTTATAACTTGGTATCAGAGCTACCGGGTTTGAATATTTGGGGCTCTCGAGAAGTGGTTGTTTTTTACAATGAGTTCATTTCGTTAAACTAGGAGATGTTTCATGCTTTAAGTGTTATGTGATAACATGTTTATATGACTAAATGGTATGAGATTGAGCCTTTAGGATGTTGTTTGCTCCTATTAAATCTCTTGAAGTTTTATTAGAAGAGCACTTGATTAATGTTCATTTTGATAAAAACTCTCAGTATTTCGCAGGACAAATTTCATCATAAAAGAGTAACCTGTATGTGTTTTTGTGACTAATGTGTTTACGTGGAGTGAAACTAAGTGTTTATATGAAATGGAAACTTACGAAATTATTGCGATGTGACGTGTGAGATGAAGTTGCGAGTACATATGTGTTTGTGTGCTAAATTGTTTATTCTTGTCCTTAATTAGGATGTCAGAAGGAACTCGTGCACGTGGTGTAGAGGCGGGAGGCGTGGTAGGCCTCGCTGAGGGGTTCATGAGGTTTTGGTGCAAGAGGAAGGGTCCAGCCAAGCTAAGCAGGCCTAGCTAACGTGGCCGAGCAAAGGGAGCAAGCTGGAGTCCCTGAGCAAGCGGGTCAAGTTGCTATGGGTGCCTTAGCCAGAGAGATGGCTGAGGCCTTGAGGGGATCGATGAACATGTTGAGGCAGGAGAATCAAGCTTGGGAAAATGCCGTGGAGACTAGAACGGCTTTCTTTACTTGGGAATTTTTGCAGGCTAAACCGAATGAGTTTCATGGGGGTTCGGAGCCTAAGAAGGCGGATGAATGGTTGGAGAAAATGGTGAAGACATTTGAGATGCTTCGCATTGATGATAGTGAATTGATGGTGACTCTAGCAAGTTACTATCTCAAAGGGGATGTAGGCCAATGGTGGAAGTACGCCAAGGATAGAGTGGGACCGACATGGGAAGCTTTTGTTACTGTTTTCCAAGACAAATACCTACCTCCCACTGCTAGGGAGAGATCGAGGCAAGAATTTCGAAACCTCAAACAACTAAACCTATCTGTGGCTGAGTTTGAAGTGGCCTTCATTAGTTTGTCCCGGTTTGCATCAAAGTTGGTGGCAACGGAGAAACGCTGTTGCATAGAATTTGAGAAGAGGTTGAGAACGAAGATTTTATTTAAAGTTGCCAGAACATGATTTGGAACTATGACCGTCTTGTGGAGGCGGCAACACATGTAGAGATTGCAGTGCAGGCCGAGGAGAGACTTCGGGATTCGAGGCCTAGAGGTCAAGAGTCGTAGTGGGGCTCTAGATTTAGCAAGAAATACAAGGGCTTCGCTTGATCCCAGTCCCAACCACAGCAGACTAGGTCTACTTTCCCATTGCCTAGTGCTGGCTCAGGAAAGAATGCTCCAGGCAGTTTCTCATGTTTCGAGTGTGGCCAGCAGAGTCAAAAAGCTAATGCTTGCCTACAGAAGGGAGGAGGGCAGCAGACGTTACCACCACCACCACCTAATCGATCTCAGAGTCAGTCCTAGAGTAAGGGACAAGGGCCTACATGTTTCCAGTGTGGTCAGTCGGGGTACTTGAGGAGAGCTTGCTTGCAGTTGGGAGGCGCATCTGGTGCAACAAGGTCGAGGCAGACTCTGAGTCACCTGCAGGCTCATTCAGTTTAGATCACTCGAGCTAATTAGGGAGCCACCTCAGCTCAGTCAGTACAGTAGGCCTA